GCAGGGTTTAAGCAGTTTTTAACGTGTAGCTTCCCATCAATCACACACACACACCCATCACACACTGGTCTCCAAGAACATGGAGGCTCTTCCTAGGCCTTTAGAACCAGGAGACCTGGCTGTTGCTCTAGAGAACTGGAGCCTGAGACAGCCTGATGGTGATGGACATAGCGCCTCCTCGGCTGGTACTTGGTGGTATGCTTTTTATTTAAACAATTATTAATTTTAATATATTTTTATTGATTTCAGAGAGGAAGGGAGAGAGATAGAAACATCAATAATGAGAGAGAATCATTGATCAGCTACCTCCTGCACATCCCCTACTGGGAACTAAGCCTGCAATCTGGGCATGTGCCCTGACTGGGAATCGAACTGTGATCTCCTAGTTCAAAGGTCAACACTCAACCAATGGGCCACACGCAGCCTGGGCAAAAAGGATGCTTTTTAAATGAGCCATTTATTTATTTAAAAAATGAACAACAGCACAATTTATCACTTTCTCAGATACAATCAATTCTTATTGTATGGAAGGATCTCAGAATTGGAGACTTTGATACTTTAAGTGCTAAAAACTATCTTTTTGGTGTTTGTTCAATATGCTAACGCTTTCCCTAATCATATCACTAGCCATTAATCAAACACATAAATCCCTTAGGAATATTCTACTAATTGTTAATCATTCAAAGACATTAGCTAGTAGAAGGGCATTAGCCAACACTGTTACATAATATCAAAACACCTGATCATATCTGTGAATTAATAAAGTAATCAAACCAGTTTTGGCATTTCATATAAACAAAACAATAGATCAAGGGATTTTTTAGCTTTATGTAAACATTTAAAACCCTACCATTTATAAAATGTCTAACCAAATAATCTGAACAATAAAGATTTTTTAAAAATGTGTAACCATTTGACCCTATGCCAAACATTTTATCTACTAAAATCTTATTTATCTCTGATAACAATATTTTAATGTGTTATCACTTCCATTTTACAGATGAGGAGACAGAGGCTCAGAGAGATTTAGTCATTTGCACAAGATTACAAATCTAGTTTGTAGTAAGTGGTGATAAAATTTACACACAGATCGCTCTAATTTCAAAACCATGCTGTTTGCCTCTCTATGTGTAACCTCACACAGCCAAAATGGCCAGTTAAGGCGAGAGAAAAAAAAATCTTGGGTCCTCAATCATGCAGTTAAGATAACCAAAACTCAGTTCATCGACAATTCCCTCCTGAAGCATGTTAACGACAGCCCAATCTGTTGCCTGACATCTAAGCACGGGGGACCTTTTGACTTCCACATGGTCCTACTCTGAGAACTAGCACTTCGATAGCCAAACATTACACGTTAGAAAAAAAAATTGTACATGTGACATTATGCCTGTGGGGAGACCTGAGTCAAATATTATTTTTTGACTATTTTGAGACATAGCCTGAATATGTAGTTCCCTTGTGGCTAACTCAAAACACAACAGCAGAGATGAATCCTTTGCACTACCCTATATTATTTTCTTTCCCTTCTTGCAAGGGAACTAATTATAAATTAGATAAGATTAGAAAACAATCTTTCCAGAATGAATCTTTTACAGAATTACCTAGAAAGAACCAAGTTCTCCCCCCCCCCGCCACCCCCATGGTAAATCACACAGAGTAGCAGCCTGCCCCAGATCCCCAGGAGACAACATCTTGAGCACATATGTTATGCTGGGTTCTGTATTGACTAATTCAAAAACTCCAGGGCAAAATAACCAAAGTTCCCAAGTCAAAAATGAAAGTAAAATAGTGGAATGAAATTGGAATCTTTGTGGCAACGTTCCCACAACTTCATACATAGTCATGAAAGTAAGACAGCATTACAGGTTAGCAAATTTCCCATTGCAAGAATCAATCTGCACCGTTGGTGTCACGCTGCAAACAAACCCCTGGACCTCTCACTTTACTGACAATCTTTTTCTCTCCAGAAATATAATCACATTCAACAAAATGAATATCAAGATTGTTTTACTAGAGGGCTTATCCAAATATATGCTATATTAAAAATAGTTATGATATAAATATTTCTCACAAGAGCTGCAGCGATGGTGTGAATAAAAAACTCCCTTCTGAGATTTCAGTAAAACCAGATCTCACAAAGGATCTGAAAGAAAACAAACAGACAGACACACACAAAGAGACACACACACAGAACAAACCTTGTGTTAATCCAGTTTAGCAAAAACAAGTCACTATTCTGACACTATTTTATGAAGTACCATACTGTTCCTTCCCAGGTGAAGTAGGAGAAACGAATCTGCTACAGGTTCCTCATAATAATGTTCAAGGGTGGGGGGTACCTAAGCATGTTCCGTAGCAGCTAATCAAAATCAAAATCTCTAAATGCAGCAAAATGTTAGCACTGTCAAATGGCCAAGTGTGCGAGAGGAATCTCTCTCTCCATGCCCTTCTACCAGTACATACAAAGCCCCAAATACACTGGCTGGAATTTTTAAATCGTAAATTAGATAGCAAATGCTTACGGGCCTTACAATGAGATAACATCAGGAGGCACGGTGCGTGGAATGGATCTGGCATTCTCACATAAAGCATTATCTTTGGTACAAGTACACACGGCAGGGCATTTTGGCTTCGCTGGTTTCTTCCCCTCAGTCAGCAAGAGCGCAGATAAGAGACATAGGAAATAAGCAATTCTTTTCAGGGGGATGCAGGCATTTCCCATCCTTTGGCTTCTCTCTGATTCCACGCAGTCGGAAAAATCTCCCCAAACATGAACAGGGCTTCTGGAATTCAGCTGGTGATTGTCTTGCTCTGAGATCAGGTCACATAGGAGTCCACCCTTTCCCTTTGCCTCTGTATCTCTGCTTTTCAAAACGGGGACCTGCAGCTGATTCGTGAGCTGCTCCTCGATCCAGCAATGCACTGCTCGGGGAAGAGACCTGTGAGGTGCTGCGAGATGGGAGGGATCCAACTGCCGGAGGAGAGAGCCGACTTGCATCACCAGGAAAACACTGAGCGCAGACCAGCCTTCGAAGGCAAAGTGAAGTGATGTAACAGAAAATAAACAGCTTTCTGCTTGCACCGGGAGGCCCTGTAATTGTTACCAAAAATAGGACGGCGTTCTGTCTTATTAGTGAGTGGGTGGGCGGGTGGGTGGCAGCAGTCATCTTGCATCGGAGCTCGGCAGTCTCAGAAACCTCTGGGAATTTGCTTTTCGTGTGGCAAACAACCCAGTCAGAAAAACTGGCTTTGGACCCAGCCCTGGCTGGAAAAATGAAGTTAAATCAAACTCCCTCTCTCCGCAGCATTTGGCTAAAACGGTCTTTCTTGCTGAATTCACCTGACTAATGCCACCGTGGAAAGACAGATAAGAACACACGGAGAATGAGACTTTCAGGGAATGAATGTGAGTAAGTACTTTTCTGACATCAGTTGTCATGAATTATTGGTTTTCATAGTCCCCCACCCCCACCTCCAATGTGCCAGCCATTCCCTCCTCCCATGATGAGGGAGGAAAATAGAAGCAGAGGCTGGCTCTGTGCATAATCCACCTTTCTTGCTTCTGGAACTCCTTCTTCTTTAGCAGTAGCACCCAACGCCTGGCAGGAACTCTCTGCCAGCAGGAGGCAGCCAACTTGGGCTTCTCAGGGCGCTGAAAAAGGCCTGGCTTAGCCCAAGAGGCAGAGACAGGGTGGGGGAAACGCTGGCCCAAGAGCAGGAGACTCGCTTTGAGGTCCCAGTTCTGCCATGATCTAGCCCATATCTCTGGATCTATTCAAGTGGGAATGATATCGATGTTCTATAAATATTATGAACATGAAATCAAAATGGTAGGCTGGACTACTGTCGTATTAGGGAAAGGGTATGCACCTTTGGAACAGAAATTCATTTAAAGAAGAAACAAATGAGGTGCTGGCATTAGGGCAGGGTGGTGTAGTCCAAGAACTTGGGGAGACTTTTAGGATGGAGAGAGGTAAATAGGCCCTGGCTCCCCTTACCATGCTGGCCCAGGGATGGCAACCCATGATCTTTCTCTCTCAGCTGCTTAGATTGAAAGTGGTAAAAGGGTTGTTTGAGCAAATGTGTGATTAGGACATAAATTCATCCTACAGGGGAACCTGAAGCATGGACAGTATACCCATTTCCTCTCATAGCATGCTCCACAATGACTCTAATCACTCATTTAATTCTCTGTAAGCTCTGTGAGGAGAGAGCAGTGGTTGGTAGTCATGTTCATTCTTGTACTCGACTGTTTACCTGGAAGACAGGTGGCTCCATGAAGGTAGAGATCCTCTGTGAGTCAGTGTCTGGACAGTGTCGTCCATGCAGTGAGCCATCCATGTGCCTTCATGAGCAACCGTAGAGTGAAAAGGCTCTCCTGGTCAGGATGTGCTCGTCCCGGGAAACGTCAGATCGCACCTCAGAGTTACCATAGAGGGATCTGACAACTCCCTGAAGAAGTAATGAGAGAGCAGAGTTCCAAGGTAGTGGGGATGAGAGAGTTGGAGAGAACATTCCAGGTGGAGGGAACAGCACATGCAGAGGCCTGGCCACCACCTGGCCAGGGCCCTGGAGAACAATGGGAGACCTCCGGAGTGCTTTAGGCAGGAAAGTGATATATCTGGTTTGTGCTTCAAAAGGACCAAGATTATTATAATTAAGCCAGTTTTTGAAGGTTTATAAATATAATTTTTATAGAAAAGAAAAGAAAAACTCCGTCCAAGAGAAGTAATGATTTTAGAATGGATTCTACTGCTTTCACTGTCAAGGATTCTCTGGAGGGAGGGAGTTATCATAGTGGTTTTAGAAACTGTGACTTACGGGCAAGTCCCACTTGCAACAGTAAAAGTGTCATTTAAAAAATTGGCCGAAAGTCAGTATTTTGTAAATTGGATCCTGCATCAAGTACACAGTGAAAACGTGCTCTATAAAATAATTATGTGGTGAAAGTTTTATAGAGAGGATCATTTTTATTCAAACAATCACCTCCCCCCCTAACTTATCTCACTTGTAAAGGATATATTTTATAGCTATAAAATAAAGACTCTGAGAACTTGAAGGACCTTAGAAGTCTCAGATCCAATCCCCATATGTTACAGATGGGTAAACTGAGGTACTAAGAGGTCACACAGATGGTGAGTGGCAGAGCCACCACTCTGCATGGGGTGACACTGGCAGATAATTGGTTAAACTGGTGGATATAGTCAGTCAGGATAATTCACTCCCCATGTTCCACTTTCAAATGTGTCAAGTTATCAAGATTGCTTCATCAGCCCTTGGCTTCGTACTCTGTGGACATAATCAAAGAAACGGTGAGTTGTCTTTCAAACTCTCTGAGTTGGTTAAGCTGGGAGGGCAAATGAATGAGGGAAAGAAATCATACCCACAACTATTCACTGTGCAGCTGTATTTCTCTGGCGGTTCATTTGGTCAGTTTAAGTGGAAAAAGACTGTGATTGGGGGGGAGGAGGGGGGAGAAAGGGGCGGGGGAAAGGGGGACCCTAAGGACAAGTTACAATGGGCATTCTGAAAAGACAGTAACTTTTTCTTTTTCTGTGGCATTTAAGCCCAGACTTGAATTCCCTATTCAACTAAGATCGGGCAGAATTTTAACTGTAATGCAGAATGCTCATGGCCATTTAGGGAGGAGAAACCACTCCTGCCTCCAGAATTGGGTCTGAGGAGGGGACTACTGAGAGGAGGGCAAGTTGTTACACTAAAGCTCTGAGGGGTCTGGGGTGGGGTCTATTGCTGATGAACCTTCCTTTCCTGACCAGTCCTCCTCTAGAAGCCCTGGCCAGGCCCAGAGGGGCTGTGGGAAGTGGGAGAGTGGAAGCGTAGGAATTTCCACCCATTTGAAGACTTTTGGATAAGGTTTGGCACCCACCTGGGGCTTTGGGAAAGGGCCCTCGAAAGGAAGAAAGCAGAGCTGGAAGGAGGCCCAGGGAGGCTGAAGGCCTTGGCCAAGGCAGCTCAGTGCCCAGTCCCAGAGATAGAGGAGTGGCTGAGCGGGTCCAGGGCTGGCTCTTCACGGCCAGCCATGGACCATGGGCTAGCTACTTAACCTTTCTGGGCCACAGTTTTCTCCTGTGTAAAATGAGGATAATACTAGTATATGCCACACAGAATTCTTGAGGAAATGAATACAGTAATGTATCTAATGTGCTTAGCAAGGGGTCTGATACCCGGGAAAGATTCATCATGCTTGTCGTCGTCATCATCATCATCATCATCATCATCATCATCGCAACAGGACTTGATTGCTGAACGTGTGACTCCTGATACCTGGGAAGCAAAGCTCTCAAATAAAAATGGGTTTAGCTTAAATCTATGCTCACTCTAGAAAGCAGGCACTTCTGGGCAGGATGACAGGCTGTGGCCTTGCCAAGAATCTATTTGCATGGAGGAACCAAGGAGTCTCCTGGGAAAGAAAGAACTCACCAGTTTGGATGAGAGCAGCAACATCCAATCTTAGTCCAAGGACAGGTCTGGAGCTGGAGAAAGAGAAGGTGGTCTGAGTGCAAGGTAGAGATTGTGTCCTGCCCCCTGCCCTTGAACATGTGTAAGTTAGAGAAAGTAAGAGAGATCCACTTTGGGATTCTTGTAGTAAAAGGAGTTCTCTCCAGTTTGGTGGGCACTGTGGCATTGCCTTTGAGGACCAGGAGGAACTACTTACAGAGCTGTAGCACCAAAGATGCTGTAGGATATGAGACCAACAGCATCCCTCTCCAGGCCCTCAGCTCACACATCACCAAAGTCACTGGATTTTCCACCAAAAGCAGCTCCTCCTTAGTGGCCAAGCAACAGTGACAGCCCCACAGACATCAGAGGGACTGGGGAATGATCCGTGAGGCAGCTGGAGCAGAAGAAAAGGAAAACGAAGGATAGAGTGTGATGTTTGGGGGCACATGTGCAGTGTTCCCTAGGCATCCTCAGAAACTGAAAGGGGTCTCTGTGGAGGGTTGGGCGATTCTGCGAGAGCCAATGAGAGCAGAGAGAGAGAAAGAGAAAGAGAGAGGAACAGCCTGTGCCGTGATTCTGATCTCAGTTTTCCCCTCAGGCTGGTGTGGCCTAGGAAACACACTTTGTACAAGTAAACAAATCATTATTATGAGACTTGAAAGATCCATCTTGGCCCTGCCTCCTTTTGCAAACACTCAGACATGCAAACGGGTGTCAGCTTAAGCAGCTTTCTCAATAGAGCAGGTTTTTTGAAGCTACACGTCAGATGCGTTAGTGAGTTGCAAAATCAATCTAGTATAAGCAGATTGTAAAAGCAGAATTTTAAAGAATGAAATAGTTTTGGCCCTGGCCGGGTAGCTCAGTTGGTCAAAGTGTTGTCCCTATATGCCAAGGTTGTATGTTCAACCCCAAGTCAGGGTACATACAAAACAAAAAGAAAACTATGAATGCATAAATAAGTGGAACAATTGCTATTTCTCTCTCTCTCTCTCTCTCTCTCTCTCTCTCTCTCTCTCAAATCAAGAAATAAAAATACTTTTAAAAAAGTAACTATTGCCCTGTGAAACCTTTGTTTCCGTTGTGTCTCTGTGTGTGTGTGTACATGCGTGTGTGATGTAAAATATTTTTTACAATCCGTTTATGAAAAAAGAGGAAGAGAGGAAGGAAGGAAGGAAGGAAGAAAAGGAAGGAACGGAGGAGGGAGGGAGGGAGGGAGGAGTGTATCACTTAGGATGCTTTGGTAGTAAGTGACAGACATGGACTCTGCCAACCTAAACATAAAAGGGTCTTATTGCCTTGGTAATAGAATGACTGGCAGAACTCAGGGAAGGGCTGTCCAACCAGGCTTCAGCAATGGAGAAACTTGTGGGAGCTTGGGGATCTAGGTGGCAGGAACTAATGGGCAGTCTACTCAGGTGAATCCTCTCCAGTCAGTTCTCATCCCCGTGTTCCTCCCCAGAGGAGAGAGCCCAATGGACTGAGCTGGGTCCAGTGCCCGCCTATTTGCCATGGGGAGGCAGAGCACCTTGGTGGCAATTCCACCAAGAGAGCACATGATGAGAGAGGGGTGGCTCCTCAAAGGAAACTTTGGTGCTACTACCAGAAGCAGAGAGGATGGATGCTGGACAGGCAAAACCAAGGGACACTCAGTATGGGACATATGCCAGGATCTGTTA